TCATCTATGTTCCCTGGATCAGACATATTCAGATTGCAGAGTCACAGTTCACAAAACTCTCAAAATGTTCTGTTAAATCTCATAAACAGCATAAACTTGTTTCACAGTAAAACAAGCACAATCATTCACATTCTAAAAGTGAGAGTTCACTTTTGACTTTTTTGCTTAAGAAATGCAGTTGACTAAACAATAAATCATTAAGAATAAAGGGTTTCAGACGTCTGGGCAAATAATCACACACAAGTATTGTGAGGGTCAATATGGTACAAAAGAACAAGGTTTTAGCCTGAGACAGTAACACAGACATGAACCATATCAGCTCTTACCGGACACACTTTGTCGATTTGAGTCAGCCTCCCCATTACTGGTGTTGGAATTGGTGGGGGAGCTGCTGTCCACTCCTCCCAGCAGGGGGCGCAGGTGACTTACAGACACCTGCTCAATGAAGGATGTCCCATATTTCCTGAAATACCACCACTCAAAGATCTGTGAAAGACAGAAAGAAAGAAGGGGAATCTTTAATTTAACTGTTCACACGAATACATGTCTCAGTTTAATTTGTTCATATTTCTTTTTGCCTGTAATTCTCTCAAATACACATCTATGCTCATTTTACAGAAGTGAATTTTCAGTGTTCATATTCAGTGTTTGACCAGCTTGGACTAAACTGCTCCACTTATTACCACTGTCTGCATCACTGAGTCTCAGTCTTTGGCACACAGGCCAATGAGTGTGCTCCTCTACAATTGTATCAATTACTGTACAACCTTTAGTCCGAGAGGAGGAGCTGATCAGTAACCTGCTGTTTAGTTGGATTGAAAATTGGGTCTGTTGGGTCGTGTCTGACTACCACTCAGATGGCAGAGTTGGGGCATCAATTAACCTTCTTGAAAAAAAAAATCTCTGAGCAAGACACTGAACTCCACTGTTGGTAAGAGGGTCTTTTCCACTGTCATCAATGTGTGTGTATGGTGTGTGTGTGCGTGCGCGTGTGTGCAGTTTAAGACACAGACACAACCCTGTGAGGCAAACTAAGTATGAATATGGGTTTTACAAATAAAACTGATTTGACTTTTGATGTTTTTGTTCTAATCCACACTACACTGAACTCAGGGGGCAAGTGATTTGTTCCAGATTCCTTCTACATCACAACAAAAAGAACCAGGGGCCTGCAACAAATGGTGTAGGCGCTACAGAGCCCTGATCTCAACATCATGGAGTGGGTCTGGGATCATATGATGAGACAAGGACATTGACCATTGACCAAGTTTACATGGACACTAATATTGTGATATTAACCAGATTGAGTCAATAGTCTGAATAAGACACTGCCATATACATATTCATACTAGTTATTCATACTCTGAATAAGATATAATCAGATTAAGACATGTGGAGTATTCTGAACTTTGTCACATTATGTATACATGTACACGTTTTGATCACATTATAACGTTGCATTGGGGTTTTAACAACATTTTTCTACATTGACATACAGCAGTTACTTACTGCTTGACAACCCCTGCCCTGCATTTAAACCAGATGCAAAAATAAAAAGTATGCAGTTTAAAAAAAATTTGAACAATGTTATACAGTCGGAGTACATTAAACTAATTCAGGTTGGGGTTTAAAACTGGCAGAAGTGGGCATTGCTCTGTAACATGTAAACTGGAATAGGAATGAAATATTCCATTTAGCAAATCATGTAAAGACCATGATCAAAATAATGTCTTATTCTGAATAATCTCAGTTAAAAAGAGAAGTAGATCCAGTAGAAGAAGAAGCTTCCATGTAAACATAGTCACTGAGACAGACAGAACTGTGGCAGGCTCCCCAAGATGCTCTGAACAACCATCCTCCCAAGTACCTGAGAGACTGTGCAGGTGTACCAAAGAGAACTGGAGCTGCTATAAAGGTAAACTGTGGTCACCAAGTTGCTTTGGTGAGGCAGCTAAGTGCAGAAGATTTTTATTTTATTTTAAAACTACATCGATTTCTCACCAATCCAACCGACAGGACAGCCGCAACCCTCTGCTCTCACTCCTATCACATGGTGTACTGTAATGCATGGTATTCTCAGTAGACTGGCTCCATGTCAATTTTGGATTGAATTTAAAATCCGCCTGATCACATTTAAGGCTTTTCACAACTTGGGGACACAATACATCAGTGAATTATTGACCCCATATCGACTCACTGGGCCTCTAAAGTTTTCAATGTTCATGACCTGTGGTGACAATGTTCTGTGCTGGCCTCCAGGTTATGGATCAGTTTCCTCCGAGGGGATCTAATCTAAAGCCCCTTCTTTTATATTTTATTGATGGTCCCTGCCCTGATTTGTATCTTTTTTCTCTTCTTTTTATCTATCCATAGGGTTTTTTCATTGTGTGTTTATATTTTATATTTGTACTTTGTGAAGTACTTTGTAACCCTGGTTTTAAAAACAGAAGTGCTATATGAATAAGTACTTAATTATTATTTGTAATGAGAGATGAGAGTTTCACTGTCAAACAAACACTCTGATTACTGATGAGAGCTTTTTTAATAGATGTACAGATTGCCATCTGGCAATGCTGCTATACTGTCAGCCTCTGCCTGAGTGAGGAAGTGATAACACATTTTGATGGAGCTTATCTCAAACTCTTCGGTGGAAAATTACCTCATTAGGACATAAACATCTACTCTAATTACAGAGAAAAAACCAGTAGCATTCTGATCAAACCAATTGGCTTCCACATGTCTTCATCATCTCACAGAGCATGTGCGAAGCTCAACACAATCTCTCAGCAGCCTACGCATATTGGCCAATGGCCCACAGGGAAGAGAGAGTGAGTTAATTATGAGAGGAAGCATTTGAAAATACAGACACATCACTGTTGCACAGTTAGCTGTTTCTGTGAAGAACTTGAAAGAGAGAGAAAATGCCTGCCTCCTGCTTATAGGAAAAGAAGTGCTGACAGCTTCATTATATTGCCTTCCTGCTTTAATAATGTTTGTCAAATCTTTCTTCAATTTACATCTAAATGAGGATGTCAGCAGACAAACCCATCTTTGCAAAGCTGGGGATTGAGGGAGAGTTGCAACAAACTCACATCTCAGACATGCATTAAACCCAACATTTTGCACTAGTTGACTTCTCTAGATCAGCTGAAGGAGAAGTGCCTTACCCAGCAGCACCTCAGTGAGTATGACAAAGGCTTGGAACCATAATCATCACATCGGTGCACACTGCACAATCAGTGATTAATGCTCAGAGTAGAGTGGTAAACCGGGTCAGGTAAATAACATATTTATATAAATTCAAGGTTAAGGATAAAAATGAAGTAAACACGGCAGGCAGTGGGCGAGGACTACAGTATGATTTTCTTCTAGAGAAATCTGAAATCAAAATGATCGTAGAGTAATTTTAACATCTAAATCAGCTTAGGGTTGTTCTGCTCAGATAACCATCACTACACCCAACTAGCTAGAACATCAAAATGGCTCACACAGAAATAGCTTTGGTAAATATGTTGTTATTGGTTTTGCCACTTGTAAAAAGAGCTAGTGCTAGTTAATCTTGATAGCCACAAGCTAGGCACGTCATCGCTGAGGAAAGATAAATAGCTGCAGGAGCAAAGGTGCTGCGACAATTTACGGTAACTTTTCCTTGTATGCATCTCAACCTCCAAACAAGGAGGACAAGGAGGCCATAACCCATTTGATGTGAGTGACTAGTACGTGTGTAAAATCACGGTTGACACGTCACAGGTCAAATGATAGCTGGTCTGAGTGAGTCTAGATTTGACTGGAAGGTAATTCTGGACAACGGGTCAGGTCTGGTACAAAGCTTTGCAGGTGCGATTTGACAAAATAGACCCAACTCTGGCATTGAGCTCCACAGACGTCTTTATCCATAAAATGCAAAATCTCTAAAATTATGTTGCAAGGAGTACAGTGACAATGCCAGAGGCTGCCATTTTTTTGTAGTTCATCTTATGCAACACTTAATGAGTATGGATTTTCTCTCTGTTCAGCTCCTCATGGCCTCTGAACCTGTGATTAAAACACTAACAAATTACATCCTGGGCTCACCAAGGACGTCACCTTTGTTAAGCAACCAGAACAATGTACAAGGAGTATAACATGAGGGAGCTTAAGTACAGTGATTAGCCAAGAGTCACACCCGACATGTTGTACAGTGCAGTTCTTTTCAGCAAGTTATACCTGTGGCTATAAGATTAGTTCAGAAGTCAGTTTTGCTAATAAAATAATTTCTAGCATCATAATAATAGTAGTTTCAGAACTGATACCAGCACCAGCTTCAATATAATCAGATGAGAAGTGAGAATATAGTATCTTACCAATATGAGTCCTGATATGAGGGAGGAAGTGCCAGTCAGAGCCACGTAAAACTTGGGCGTGAGGGTGTTGAGAAACATGCTTACTGTGGAGGAGACACAAGACAGACAGATTAAGGTTAAAGCTTGCTATGAAATAATAAAAACACGTACTTCTACACCAAAGGGCAAAACTTGGGAGGAGATACAGTATTTGTAGAATCAAATACTGGATGATCATATAAAACTAGGACATGTCTACAGAGAAGACTAGTAAAAGCCTGCAAGTAAAACATCAAAAAGACTCAACATTCAAGGCCAGTTGTTATTCCAAGACTTGAAAGCTTCATGAAAAAAAAACCACGTCATCCACATACAGCGTTGGCATTTCCCAGAGATCCCTGCTGCTCAGACGTGAAATTACACAACACCAGGGGACCAGCATAAGCTTCAGCTACAGAGTGAAGGAGCGCTGTGGGTAGGAAACCAGGGAGGAAACTAAGCTATAACTGGCAGCCTTTGCTGAAACACAACAGCCACAAGTAATTCACAAAATCTACGCAAGGAAAAATTACTTTCAGCATGAAAAAAGTCATATAGATGGAGAGGGAAACAATGGTGCAGTAGTTGGCCTTGAAGACTGATTATTGTAGAGAGCAGCAGCTACACATCCTCACAGCCTGCATTTAATTCACGCCCACTGAACTGATGCCAGGTCGAGAGATGAACCAATGTATCTACTACTGTAATCAATGATGTGAAGAACTTAAAGCTGCAATTCTTATTATTGTTCAACTAAATAATTGTCATTTTTAAAGGACAAATTACAAACGTTTTCCAGTTACAGCTTCTAAATTATGTCAATTTGAATACATCATTCTGTGCTGTGAAAATTATACCATTACATTTTCACTATTTCCTGTCATCCTTTAGGTAATAAATTCAACCCCTTCGATAATATGATTAATCAAGAACAAATGTGCAGATTAGTCCAAACTGAAAAGCATTGAATGAACGACGCTTATCTTGAGCATTGTAAAAATCAGGCAACGCTAATTGGGGGATGTCATGATGACATTCTTTCTACCATCATCATAATTTTTCATTTTTCAATCTATATACGCTTTAGGTCAGGTACATTAAGATGCAGAGATACCTCGACGAATGTATATCATTACTATGCATGAAGTCATTTTCTGACTAAATTGTATTCTTCACGACGTCACTTATATGACATCATATGGTGAAATATAACTGTCTGATCATTAAAAGTGTAAGATTGTCTGTCACTAGAAGTTTTCTGATTTATCTTGATGATAAATCTGAAGTATCCTGTGGACTGCAAAAAAATACAACTCACAATCAATGAGCCACATTAGTTAAGACTCACATCGTCATCATCACCAATAATTATTACACATTTGGGCCATAGTTGAAAGGTTTTCCTATTCTACCAGGACAGTATATGTGGCAGAGATATTCTTGCACTATTGTCCTGTGGACCACATTTATTGCTGCAAGCTAGTTTGTTGGAAGGGATCACTGTGACTGGGGCAGTTTTTAATGCTTGTGATAAAATTGTGCCTCAAGGATGAAGCAACAATCTGTCTCTCATCTGTTTTCAATTATACAACCATTTCTTTGTGAAAAAAAAAGGGTTTTTAAAAACCACTGAGAACAAAATTGAAAGCTTTGACTTCTCAGTGATTTTTAGATTAGGTTTTATCATTTTAAATCTAACAACACTGGCTTGTTTTTCAGACTGCAATTTAACTTCTGATGAATTATGATCATAAAGGCCTGCTTTGTTGGGCAGGATGCAGGTAAGGAGGGCAACCTTAACAGACTGATTACCCAGTGAAACTTGTGAGACAAAAAAGCAAGCGTGTGTGACTACGATCACATAGCACGGACAGCGTCTAAAAAACGATCTGTTTGATGAGATTAACTGCTAAATGACTTGCATCATACCTCAAACAAATCTCTGCATCTACTTGTGCTTAGAAAAGCAAACCTGGCTTCAGAAGTGTGAATAAAGATTTACAATCTCTTGGCCAAAAGATTCTTCAATGTATAGCTAAATGTGTCTCACATGGAAACACCAATAGTAAAGATGGTGACTTTCATCACAACTGACAGGAATGTCTGGGAAAACTACAAATATAAAGCACAGATGAACAAGAAAACAGAAAATGTCTTAACCAGTAAAATGGGACTACAGATTCCACTAATGTTTGGTAACCTCCCAAAATGTATCATTAATTCTGCTGGTGGTGAGAGGTGACCCCCCAGCCCTGCATTAGGACTGCAACAGGATTCTGCAAGCGACACTTAAAGATACTGACCACTCCATTTGGGTGGGGGTGTTGGGTTGCTAGATGGAGTCACACAGAGAGGATAGGGGGGGTGGGACAAAGACCCCACTCAGATGAACCCCACCATCACACACGCGCATACACACGTGCGTCAAGCAAGTGCAGCTGGAGAGCTATTCATTGCTGTGAAGTGGGGGCTCTCGTCTTAGCAGAAAAGGGTCTTTCAGTTTGGCCTGTGGTGAAACATGCCTAACAGCTGCTGTCAGCCTGCACGGAGGATACTGCTGTCTGGCTGGCAAAGGCTCGTCTCATCTTCTAAGCCAATGCCTTTCGCTTTAATTGTTTGCTTATTCAAATTAAACAATATAGCAGGGAAGGCATAATCCATAAGGGTCATTCCACATGTCAAATCATCACACTTTTGGGCCACACTAGTGAATTCACACAGTAAAGGTTCTCATGTCATTTTAAAGCAATTTTTTATCCAAACAATGCCAACCTTGGTAAAAAAATGTAATGGTTAAATGTTCACCAAAGTGAGTTTATAATGTCTACAAGACATCCATACAGCTTGGTCTTTGGTTTTTGAGCAATTGCTGAGATATAATTACTTATCTGAAGAGGCATCACATCACTAATTCTTTACAATGTTTACAATGAACAGCAGTTAGTGATCAGTGCATAGTAAGGTACATGCACAATACTAATGCACAACTACTGTCACTAGTGGAATCATAATTCTTAAGCAGGAAAATGTTGGTTCCATGTGTTTCTCATGTGACCAAATCTATTATTAAAATATCAATGAAACAAGTATTACATTACATTTAGCTGACGCTTTTATCCAAAGCAACTTACAATAAGTGCATCAACCATGAGGGAACAAACCCAGAACAACAAGAATCAAGTGAGTACAATTTGCTTCAAAAAGCCAAACTACAAAGGGCTACAATATATGTATATGTATGTATATACTGTATATATACACACAGCCACTTTTTTTTCGAATTGGCAACTAGACTACCTCTTCATCACCAAGGTGTAGTCAGAAGAGATGTGTCTTTAAGGTGCGGCAGAAGATATGAAGACTTTCTGCTGTCCTGGTGTCAATGGGGAGCTCGTTCCACCATTTAGGAGCCAGAACAGCTAACAGTCATGATTTTGTTGAGTGGTTTGCTCGCAGTGAGGGAGCAGCAAGCCAATTGGCAGATGCAGAGCGGAGTGAACGGGCTGGGGTTTAAGGTTCGAAGTAATCAGTTGATACACAATTTCCCTGCTTTTCTCTCTTTTCTGTAATCTTAAACAGGATGATGTGGAGATCTGCAGGCAGACAAATCAATTTAAAGCTACTACAAGAAGTGAAAAAAAGACATATAGTGAGTTCAGGACACACACCTGCTGTAAATGGTTGCTCTGACCGGACATTTAGAATAGTTTATAGAAACAGCTATTTTTCTCCCTATTTTTTTATTTGCTGTTGTAGGTCATAAAGAGGCAGGAATATTAAAATAAGACTGTTTCATAACCAGTTAAAAACTCCTGGTAGGGGCTTTAAAGTGTCATCTTGGGCACCGCTAATATGATGGACATTTTTTTTTTTATTATCAAGAGATTTAACTGATAACTTAAAGCTGGTAGGGGTTGCATGAACATTATTCATCCACCTTGTATGATTTCATCATCACCATCAGGTAGAATTATAACATGGATTTCCCATTTGGAGATCAACCTAGTAGTAAACTAAATTAACCTAAAATGTAATCAAGTCGCACTGTCACGCAATTAACTTTAGAATCAGAACATCATGTCACATCCTGAACAAAATGTTCCAGTGTCACAGTGATGGTTTAAAAAGATGATCACGTAATCAAATTTTTTTTGCGAGTGTTTAAAGCTGTTCTGGTTCCTAGGAATATGAAGTTGTTTCTAGAGACAATTCCGAATTAATTTAAATAACAGTCTGAGCTGTAAAGAGACTTCTTCTACCGTTTATGCATGATGGCTCGTTCAGCTGTTTTCACTTAATACTGAGAAAATCAGCACTAATTCAGGCAATAGCAGATACAGCCCCTCTGGAGTAAGTGTGGATGATCTCCAGAATTCAGTGGATGCCAGAAAGCAGCTGTGCTGACTTAATTGAAGGCTTATTGGTTCAAATCGCAACCATGTTTATTGTTGTCACCAAGTCCGACCTGCTCACCCACTGCAACCATGCTCTGGATCAAAGAAGCCCTAAAGCTGCTTCTAACAATTTTTCTCATTACAATTTACTTTTCAATGTATGTTTTAACAATAAAAATCAACAAATAGTTTATAAAGAACCTACAGCATTTATTTACAATTATATTAAACAGAGAAAAGCAACAAGTCCTTATGAAAAGCTGGCAATGTTGAAAACCTTTACATTAAATTTTCAAAATTGAAGCTAATTGATTTAGGACTGAAAATCATTGATTCATCCAACAATTATCTTTTAGGTGAATCCCTTGGTCTGTCAAATACTTGACATTTTTGCTAAAATGAGTGTCGAAAGATTTGCAGCTCTAAATCAACCAACCAAAGGAGCAAACAACAGTTTTTTAATTATTTGCTAATTTTCATTACTGAGCTACGATTCAAACTCATGACCTTTTCTTTTGCCGCAAGTTTACTTCCCTACCTCTTTGGCAGCTAGCACTCCTGAAAGCATGTTGGGGGGATGAAGTGATGAATTGAAGGGACAAATTCTAACAGACAGACTCAGTACTAAATGTCACCGGAGACAACAGGAGATGTGACCTTTCCTGAAGCGG